GGAGCCTTGTTCATAAAAGCCAAAGCAGGAATTGAGAACAAAGGAAAGCAGATTGGAGAGAAGAGCTCAATTGAGAAGCAATCTGGAGACCAAAACCGTGGTAAGCAATCAAAATTTCCTCCTTGTAAAATTTGCACCTTGACCAACCATCTAGTAAAGAATTGTTGGTACAAGGACAAGAATGTAGGTTGAAACAGAAGCAAGGCCAACCTAAAGGAGAAACTCAGCAAGCAAACATCATCGAAGCAACTGGTTAAGCTTTCAACAAATTTGTATGTGGCCTCAAATGAAGTTATGGATGAGGATGACACAAAATGGATTGTTGATAGTGGATGCACATCCCACATGTGCAAGAACAAGTCCATGTTTACCTACTTAAATAAAGCTCTGAAAGTTAAAGTGAGGTTGGGAAATGGCAAGTTTGAGAATGCAGAAGGTAAGGGCACTGTCTTTGTAAATACCCACCTAGGTACACGGTATATTACAAATGTATTTTTTGTACCTACATTAAAACAAAATTTGTTAAGTGTGAATCAGATGACAAATAATGGGTATAAGGTTCTTTTTGAGAGCAAATGTTGCAGGATTTATGATTCTGGTGGGAAACAGATCGAGACAGCACCAAAGATTAATCAGAATTACCTGCTGTACATGAAGAAGCCAGCACACATGGGCTGTTATGCTAATGTAAATGACGAAGAAATTTGGCATAGAAGGTTTGGACATTATCACATGTCTGGCTTGAAGAAGTTGCAAATTGAGAACCTGAGTCTCAATCCCCCTACACTTAGTGAAACCAATATTGTCTGTAGTGTATGTCAAATGAGCAAGATGCACAGAACAACATTCCCTGCGCAAGCTAGCACATGAGCAACAGAAAAGCTTCAACTTGTTCACTCTGATATCTGTGGGCTAATGAGCCAAGATTCCTTGAATGGGAGCAGGTATTTCTCCCTTTTTATTGATGATCAGTCTCGGATGGCCTGGGTCTACTTCCTCAAAAACAAAGTTGAAGTCAAAAACAAAGTTGAAGTGCTTAGTAAGTTCAAGGAGTTCAAATCGATTGCAGAAAGGGAAAGTGGGTGTTCGCTTAAAATGCTAAGAGCAGATAATGCCCTTGAGTATAATTCACAGGAATTCAGAGATTTTTATACCTCTCAAGGGATCAAAAGGCAACTTGCTGCCCCCTACTCACCGTAGCAAAATGGTGTTGCAGAAAGGAAGAACAGAACTGTGGTGGAAATGGGAAGATAACTGATGAATGACAAATACTTGCCCAAGCAGTTATGGGCTGAAGCAGTAAACACATCTGTTTACTTGCTTAATCAGCTGCCCACTCAAGCCTTGGAGAGATTACGCCATTTGAAGCTTGCATGCAAGAAGCCCTGGACTACTCTCATCAGGTCTTTGGCTCTATTTGCTACAGCCTAGTTCCTGATGAAAGAAGAAGAAATTAGATGACAAGGGAGAGCCTGTAATTTTTCTAGGCTATAGTACAGAGACAAATGGGTACCAGGTGTATATGCTGAGCTCCAGAAAACTTATGATTAGGAGAGATGTTGTGATAGATGAAGGCTCACACTGGAATTGGGCAGAAGAAAAAATAGAACGTGATGAGGTAGGAAAACTGGTGACAGGAGGAGATGAACCTGTACCTATTCCATTCCCTCTCTGAGTTGGAAAATGATGAGGAAGTTGGAAATGATGGAAGTGCTAATGGAGTTAGGATGAGAAGTCTCTCTGAGATATAGCAATCATGCAATTTTACCTTCAAAGAACCTGCAACCTTTTAAGAGACAGTCACATATTCCTCTTGGAAGGATGCTATGACGGAGGAAATTGCTATGATCACAAAGAACAAAACCTGGACTTTGGTCCCTAAGTCTGAAGGCAAGAAGATAATTGGTGTCAAGTGGATTTACAGACTCAAGTTGAACTCCGATGACTTTGTAAATCGGTACAAAGCTAGGCTGGTGGTGAAGGGATATGCTCAGACTGCAGGAATTGACTTTGGGGACACCTTCACTCCAGTTGCAGGACACAAAACCATCAGAATGATACTGGCAGTAGCAGCGCATTCCCAGTGGCAGGTTATGCACTCGGACGTCAAGTCTGCCTTCCTAAACGATGATCTCCAAGAAGAGATTTATGTTGATCAATCGGAAAAATTCACAGTTGAGGGAAAAGAGGACCACGTTTATCTACTACATAAGGCTTTGTATGGCCTTAAGCAAGCTCTACGAGCTTGGTACCAGAAGCTGGACGAATACCTACTGTGTTGTGGATTTGAAAAGAGTAAGGCAGAAGCAACCTATATGCAAAACACGATGAAAATAACAGGAGGCCGATCACTGCCATTTATGTGGATGATATACTGGTGACAGGAAACGATCGATGCAAAATCGAAGAATTCAAAGGACAGCTTGAGGAGATGTTTGAGATGTCCAACCTAGGTGAAGTAACATACTTCGTGGGGATGGAAATAAAGCAAGCTCAGAACGGGATTTTTCTGTCACAAGCAAAGTATGCACGTGAAATCCTTAAAAGATTTAATTTGATGGAGTGTAAAGCTGTATCTATTCCGTTAATTCCAAACCTGAAGTTAACTAAAGATGAAATAGGTGATAATGTGGATGAGAGAAGGTACAAGAGCTTAATTGGGAGCTTGCTGTATCTCACAATTTCAAGGCCGGATATGTTATTTGCTGTGAGTTTGCTGTCACAGTTTATGTTATCTCCAAAATAATCTTACATGGCAGCAGCAAAGCATGTATTGAGGTATCTAAAGGGTACCCAAAATTATGGAATTTTATACAAGGCAAAGGGAGAAGGAAGGCTGCTCGGGTATACTGATAGCAACTAGGCAGAGAGTCTCGATGATGCACGCAGCACTTATGGCTATCTATTTTCGTTTGGCTTTGGTGCTTTTTCCTGGGCATCTAAAAAGCAAGTAGTGGTTGCACAATCTACAGCTGAAGCTGAGTATATTACTGCTGCAGGTGCTGCAAATCAGGCGGTATGGCTAAAGAAAGTAATGCGGGACCTGAAGCTTGATGTGTCTCTTCCAACCTAAATTCAGGTGGATAATAAGTCGGTCATAACAATCGCTAAGAACCTAGTGATGCATGGTCGAACCAAGCACATTAATATAAAGTTCCATGCAATTAGAGATGCTAAAAAGAGTGGAGAAATCAAATTTACACATTGCTCATCTGATGAGCAACTTGCGGATATTCTGACAAAGCCGCTTGGAAAAGGGAAGTTTGAAAATATGAGAGAGAAGTTAGGAATTGTATGGACTGATTCTTAAGGAAGAGTGTTAGATTATTAAGAATCAGTTAAAATTTATTCTTATTAGCTTGAATTTGAATTTTAAATTTCAACTTTGAATTTATTTGTAATCGGATAGGGTAGGATTTGAACTCAATTGCAAGCGTATCACTTGCACAAGAAAATGGGATTTATGGTTGTAAACTGGCTTATTTAAGCCATGCAAATATAAATGAAAAGTGCAGACCTTTTCATTCATTGCCTCCTTCACAAATCAACTAAGCACTGAAATAGAGGCGTTTGCAGGGTTGCACTCTGTTTCAGTGCCCTTTCTCTCTCTTACTTTTTCTCTCCATAAAAGCTACGTAAAAAGCTTTTGCATACAGCAATTTACTACGTAAAAATACTACACTTTCTGTTGACTTACTTTTCTCTCCATCCTCGTCCTATTTTTTTTTTTTTAAAAGAAAATCCAAGGGAAGTCTCCTACCATCTCCCTTTCTCCTTTTCCATCTGACGACTTTAATGTTAAAATGAATTTGATGTAGATTGTGGTTTAGAAACTTAAATTACTCTCTCAGGAAACTTATCTTCTTGCTGCTGTCAAGTTTCATCATTATTTACATCTGGGCTGATTATAGTTTGTTTGTCATCATGCAGTCTTTAAATGCTCAATCAAGAGCACTGCTTATGGCAAAGCTGGATCGTTCGGGTTTTGCCACGAGGTTTGTATGTGATCCTGTGTTTCTTAAGAATTAAATTGATTACAATATCATAAATTTAAGTTGAGTTACTTTTCGAGCAGCATTGCTGGCTCCCTTGGAGCGCCAGTGCTTAATGGGTCAGCTGTAAATCAACCAGCCATGAGCTTGCCTATTAATGGACAAGCTGCATTTCCTGCACCAATGCTTCCTACATCCATTATCCCTGGTCCAGCCTCAGAACCTGTTGGACAGCCTAGTGAGTGTCTACTGGTGAAGAATATGTTTGATCCTGCCACTGAGGTGTGTGACTTATTTTTTTTATGTACTATTTCTTTCCTTATTGTGTTTGGATCTGATGTGAATTTGCCATATAGTATTGAAGTTTTTGAGTTATATTTCAGACGGAACCAGATTTTGACCTTGACATTAAAGAGGATGTGGAAGAAGAATGTTCAAAGTATGGCCGTGTAAAACATATATATGTAGACAAGTAAGTATGCTGGCAGCTTTTGCAATTGAGGCAATTTCTATTTCTCTTGCGTGAACTGGTCTTGTATGTGGCTTTTCTAATGCTATATCTGCCCTGGATCCATGCACTTTGACTATTAAGTGACTTATTGTGATGCATACATTTGGATTTTGACTTAGTAATCGTGTAGTATCTTCTTGCAAGGTTGATGCAGCCACTCCCATAGGGTGCTAGGCACTCCATTGAATGAGAGAATATTGACAATTTATATTTTAAGCAGTTTGTCAGATTGTGATGATTCACCCATGTTTATATAGGGTGCATTCGCTTCCTAATATTGTTAGAATCCTTAAAATGGATAACAATAACAAAAAGGGCTTGACATATGATATAGTCCAGGTCTTGCAATCCTTTTAAGAATTAATATATCCTTGATATGTGATGGCTTGTTAGGTAACATTTTAGAAGTTAAAAATACTCAACTCAGGCCCTTTTTCATTTTTATCAAAAGTAGGAATATCTTCTGTAGTTACCCTATTTAACTTGCATATGCCCTAAGCAACTTCAAGTTTCACATTTTCACGAGTGTTTAAGAAATTGATCAACAAAAATGCCTCTAATGATGGAGTTGTTGCATCTCATTTGACTTAATGACCCTTGATATACCTTTGATAAAAAATATTTAGCTCGGTCAAGAAGTTTATGTCTATCTAATAAGGGTCAGCAAGCATGTAACCAATGTCCACATGGACCAGGGACAATACTCCTTGCCCCGACCTTGTCCTTCCTCCCTCCTCCTTGACCCTGAATTCCTGATTGGGATTTTCCCTGGCCTTATCTCTATTCTCGTGGGAGATGAGGATTCCCTGCTGAGTAAATGTTGTTTTCTCCCTAACCTAAACATCATAAAAAACCTTTTAGCCCATATAAACTTGTAGCTTTCTCTTTTTGTTCAAGTGTAAACTGAAATTTATACTACGATGGATAGAATCCGAACTCATTACAGGATATGACTATTGAAGCCATGAAACATTAACCCACCAAAATAAGGCTTTAAAAACTAACAAGAGGAAAATTTCAAGACTTGTGAGTTTGATAATTGATTGAGCAGCCCAACCTGAAATGAGAGCTTAGCTTGAGAAGAGCTGAAACAAGAAATCCCAGAGTACAGAAGACAAATCAGACAATTTCAAGTCTAGAAAAAATGAAATCTACCCTGCCAGGAGACTTAAACCAGACAACTCAAGAATACTTCATAAAACAATGCAATAAACAATGATCTTTGCTGTTAAGGAACCTAGAGAGGACTTCTTTTTAACCCAGAACATTTACAAATGCTAAACAACTCATTGACAGAAACAAGAAGCAGCTTTTGTTGGAAAGACAAAAGTATCAATACAGAGCTGGTGGGTATTTGGCATTTGGTGGGAGGATTTGTTGGTATGGACTGCTAGAATGATAATGACAGCAATGGAGATAATAGTTTTTCAGTGAGAGATTGATAGAAGAGATGAGAGGCTGCGATAATGAGACTAATAAATGTGAGAATGAGAGGTTAACGTTAATCTCTTTGTTAAGTATGGAATAAATTGGTAAGTTAAAAATATAAAAATAATTTACATACAATATTGTGCATGAATACTAAAATTATCTATTTATATAATTACAATCATTGGGTTTCAAGAATGGGGCAAGGCAAGGAGTGCTGCCCCTGTTCCTGACTGAAGATGATAATAAATGTCAACAAATAGTGCAAGTGTAACTACTAATTATGTTTGTAATTTCAGATAAGGGGTCTAAAAACATTATAACAGTGGGGTATTGACACCCTACTAAAAACATTATCCAAATGAAAACTGCTAAAATAGGCTTTTGACACCCTAGCTTATAAGTGGTGAGATTAAGGAGACCTAGTGGCTTAAAGTTTTGGACTTATAAGCCTTGGCTTATATGTAATTAGAGTATGACAGACATTTGTTTGGGTTTTTTCTGGGGTAAGCTAGCTTATTAGCTTGTTTGACTCAAAAAGCCAAACCAAACACCCACTAGATATTTTCATTTTGCTGATTGCTTAGTTTGGTTATATGTAACTATTTGTATTTTTCATTTTCTAGATTCATATTTATTTATATGTAAACACATGTTATTGTTGAAAAAGGATTTGGGGAATTACAGTTAAAATAAGGAGTGAGTTTAAGAACAACTTTTCACTCTCTCATATTATATTAAAAAAACTATCATTTTTTGAAAGTTGAAAAATCATAGTGAAAATGTCATTTCTTCATTCAAAAAGGTTTTTCGCAATGTCTTAACCTTTCGTTCCTTCAAAATTTTTGGTGTCAAGGTGAACCATTTATTCTCTTCGATTGAGATAAATGTGTTATTCTAGAATTGTTTGGGAATAACTTATGGAATTCTTTCAATTTTCTGTTTGGGCTATGTAGCACAAAAGTGCAGTCTCAAGTGTTGAGATCTACTATTTCATGCAGGTTCAAGTCTCTTCTCAGAGTAACCCTCTTCTGCATAACTATATTATATGACTTGTGCCCATGGTCCTTTTTCTGCGCTCCAGTAGGGAGTAGTTTATTCTATTAACATTGAAGCGTTGACTCTGCATTCTGCTCATATGAGGATATTGATCAAAATGTCATTATTCTTTTAAGTCTCAAACAATATTCTATTCTTTTCTTTCTAAGGCTTTTCTTTTTCCTAATATTTGCCACAGAAATAGTGCTGGATATGTGTATTTACGGTTTGAGTCTGTGGAAGCATCTGCGGCTGCTCAACGTGCAATGCATATGAGATGGTTTGCACGTAGGTCGATCTCAGCCATATTTCTGGTAATATCTTTTCCTTGGCCATATTTTCCTATTATCTTGTTGTATGGATGTATGCTACAATAATGCATTAATTGATTATATGATATGCTTCAGTATTTCTACTGTCTTTCTACAAGAATGTCCATGGATTTTAGTTTCGTAAAAGATTCTTAAACTCATCCAAGGTATCTGCAACGGCATCAACTATGTTGTTATTTGAATTTTCTGAACTAATTCTTTTGATTTTAAGTAACCATAGCTTTATGAATGGATACAATAAGAGACTTTTGTTTCAAAATATAGAGGTTAAGTACTCAAACCGGGTTTTCAGTACTTTATTGGCTAGCATCTCTCCATCTCTCCCCACAGTGGTTGTGCTGGTAACAGTATGTTGTGGTGTATCATCTTGGTTACCACTATTGTAATTTTTTGTATAATAAATTTATACAAGCCTATAAAAATCTATTGTATATAAAAAGTACATGAAAATCTATTGTCTAATTAAATGAAGTAAAAAAAAATGAATTAGAGAAAAAGAATTAAAGAGTACAAATAATGAAGTAAAAGTTATGTGAATAATGAAAAACAACGAATTATGGAAAAAGTAAGAATTTGCTCATTTAGCCCGAGATTCGTCCTGGCTGAGATGGTTGTCTTGACTGTTTTCCGGTGTTTACTTAGTGGCCATAACTATGCTTCAAACGTTATTCCTAACCCTTGATGTGTGCTGTGCCATTCCTGTGTTCTCTGAGAATCCTGTTTCTCATGTAATTTTTTATTTTTCTTGCAGCAACCCCGCGATTATGAAGCCAAGTTCAAGGGTGGCAGTTGAGATAGTGGTAGGCTGCTAGCTTAGCTTGACTCAGCATTAAACTCCAGTACTTGTGGAGGATGTCTTGGCCGGTAGCTTTTGTTTTTGTTTTTTAAAATTGTGGTAGAAATTGTTTTTCTTATAGTGCACATTGTGCAATATGTATTATGACAGCATATTTGTGTACCCTTTGCAGAATTCTTATGTATAATCAACCTTGAAATCCAGCTACTTTTTCTTTTGTAAGTTCGGTTTTGAATTGTTATATCTACATGGTATAAAATGCACTTTCGACCTCTTAACTGGAACTGTTATCTTCATTTGGATCAGACTGTCGTACAGAGGAATTTTTGAAAATCACTAAGTAGGTTGGTCAAGAATGTATATAGCGGCAGGGGGTGAACGTTGTCTCAATTGACGGGTAGGTGATGGTTAGGAAGTAGATTGATTAAATGTAACAGTTTAAATGTTTGATGACCTTCTGATGATTGGTACCATTAAAAATGTCATTTGTTTAAGGATTTTATTTATATTTTTGGGGTTAATAGTGTTGCCAATAATAAGTAGGATTGAAGAAAACGAGAACTCTAAAAATTGGCATGACTATTTTCTGCCTTTATACCGCGGACGGGAGAATTTCTGACTTGAGAACAGATTTCAGTCGTCGTACCGTGTGAAGTGAAAATTAGTTGAATTGCAATGCTAAAACTTGGTCAAAAGCTTTTAGTATATGATTAATTTTGTCTCGGGGTATCTCATGACTCTAAAAAGTGTAGTTTGCCGCGTTGAAATTTACCTTCCGATTGAATTTTGCCGTCGTCGATGGAATTTGGTCAAAGGCTCAATATGTTGATTTTATTTTATTTTTTGAATGTTTTATTATTTATTTCAAAGGGGTTTGATCATGTCAGAGTCCCATATATTGACTTAAATCTGATTAAATTCCTTAGCATGCTTATTAGAATAAAACAAATATATATATATGAGATCAACTGCCATACTCAGAAATTAGTGTTTTTGAGTACGTTCATTCATTCAATTGGAATTCTTCAAGTTCTTATTTAAAATCTATATTATATGCTCCATTCTTTCTCAGTAGGTACGGATCAAATTAAAAATTTTGAAATAAACTATGAGGTGAAACAGTAGATTAGGGATGACAACTAGGTGAATTTATTGTGTATTTTTATTTAACTCCAACATCACCTACTCATGTAATATATATATATATGCATGCATATACACACTTGTGCTTGGGTTCAAGTAAGTTTTAATAGGTCAAATCCAAATATATCCTCCATCAGTGCAGTTTTTCTCTCAACCTACTACTATTCATTAGGAAAAAAAACCTGTTGCGAGTCAGGTACGGAGAAAACATGGATGGAGAGAAAGAAGAAGATTTTGCAGGTTTAGGGATTTTTCCCATTCAACCTTTAAATCGAACAGGATTTTTAAGATAAAATTAAAGCAGGAACTGTTGAAAATCCTTTTTGACTGAACTTGATTTATGAAATACAAATTGTTGTTAAGAGAAAACAACATCTAACGTTTATTCTCTACAGATTTAAGATCTGAGTCTAGTTTCCACAAATTTGCTGGTTTTAAGATGACTTACGTCTTGCAAAATCTCCTGTTGCCATTTTTACTCATTAACTTTGATGCTTTCTATTCCAACTAAATTAGATGGAAACTAGTAAAGTAAAATCGCAATACAATTCCAACAAGCTTATACCTTCCAAATTAGATCATGAAGCAGTTGACTTATTTATTTATTTTTTTTTATGAAAGTATATCATGAATTACTTCAGCTCTTTAGCATTTAATACCCGAACATTGGCTCACAACAAATAAATATAATATGGTTCACTGATTAATTTATAAATTTTAGTGAATTCAACAAAACAATAACAGTTAAATTAGAAAGCGACATGGTAAAAAATTTAATTGATTTTTAGGATTGAGAGTTAAAGAAAAGTTCTCGAGTATCAAATCAAAGTTTCTCAAAATTTAGAGATGATTAATTGCTCAAAGCTTCCCATCTATTGGTGGTGATATAATTTGTGTATATATATAATGTATATGAATCACACATGAGAACTAGTTGGTGGTGGGGTTATGTAGATTTGTCGTAGAGTGCAAACTATCTGTATAAGTTACGGCTTTGAATTGGCAATATATCCTGCCATGTCTACTCTTTTATATAGTTTATATATATATATATATTATAAACTATTAATAAATTTCAAACTCTCAACGACACGCTTTGTCCATTTCATTATTCTCACCTCTTTTTATATATATATATATATATATCGTTTTTACTGAGTACTTATTTTTTTTATATCAAGAATAGGTGAAATTTTGGTCTAATTTAACCACTTAGTTTAAATATTTTTTTTAGAATAAGAAAAGACTAAAAGAAATATGTACACACACACACACATATACATATATATATATATATATATATATATATATATATATGAATCAATTGAGATGAAACTAATCTCTGAACCTTCTATAATTACTTTTGAACTATTTTTGTAATACACAGTTTAATCTGTGTGTATTGGCTGGTGTAAATATGCTTCAAGTTCATAAGTTTTGTGATGAAGTAAATAAACATTAACGAAATATCTATATTTAAAATCCTTTATAAATTTGAAGTAATTTCGAAAAAAAAAAATGTATTATTAATTAGTTAATTAGAAATAATTCTTTACTAAATAAATGCATAATGAGAGTAATTTGCAAAGAAATTATTAGTGGAAGTAAGTTTTCTGTGAACACTTTTGGAATTCTCCATTTACTACGTGGTCATTAATTTCCTTTCCCTGAAAATTACATTTTGTTTTTCCTGAATGACCTCATATTTAGCATGCATGGAAGGTTATATTTACATATACATATATATATATATATATATATATATACTTGCACAAAAATAAGTTTCATCCCAGAAATTGTTAGTACAACGGAAGATTTCTCCCAAAGCTGAATTAATTCAATTGTTTATTCTTGAATAGTTAAGGTTTTTCTTTAGTGTAAAGACCTTGTGGCGGATATTAGCAGCTTGAGTCTTCCACCTACCTTCAAACCATGAATTTAGCCAACGACAGCGCTAATTTTTTTTTTTTTTTTGATTCGACAGTATGATTTATGATTTTGATAAGCAGCACGTTAAGATGGTATATCCTTAAAAGTTAAGCATGAGATTCAAACGGGGGTAAAGACTTATAATAGATATATATTTTAGGCACCCAGAGATGAAGAAGGGTATAGCAAGGGACGAAATGCTCCGGAACTATGGTAGTAAACTGACAGAAAGGATCTGAAAGAATGAAAACCTAGAACTGAAGAGTAATACTTCTCCTGCAATCAGGTTAATAAAAGAAACGCATACCAGAAAGTGGAAAACCAAGAAGACCCGCGTCAAAACGTCAGAACAAAAGATATACAATTAAGTCAACCGAAGATAACAGCATTTGATTCTTTTGATGCTATTAATGTATATATCCATGCAGATTTTGAAAATTAAGGAAAAGAGATATTAAACCATAAAATTTAGCTTGAGTGGAAAAGAGTGATGATGATGAGTAGATTTTTTTGGGGGTAGAGGAAGAGAGATGTCTGGAAGCTACACAAGTAGGAATCTATGCGGCTTGCTGTGAAGGGGCTGGGAGATCAGTCTGATAAATTTCAAAATAAATTTGAGAATGTATATGTATATATATATACGTATATTTCTGTAAAGAATCACATTATCATACAACTATTATGTATGTATATATATATATTCCTGTTGCGCCGGCAAACTGAACATTTAAAATGTATGTGCATATATTATATAACCTCCAGTATCTAAACAGCTGAATCTAAAACAGAATATGAGGAAAACATGAACATGAAATAATAGATATATAGTACCAAATAATGAGTTGATGTGTAAGGCCATGCTATTTAAGTCATTTGCATAATCTTGATTCAGTAAGTCTATATATATATATATATATATACGGATTGAACCTTGATAAATCATTCACTAAATCTAAGAATATGAAGTCTATATATATATGATATATAGTAAGATATAGTATTTCTTGATGATATAACTTTAAAACTAATTCCACTGCTGCTTCATGGAAAAAAAATATCGAAGCAGCATTATGTTGACCAATTACAAAATTCTCAGTATCATATATATGCATATAGAACCTCGTTATTACAAGAACTTTATTTCGCTGCAGATTTCAACAGTGTATATACACACTGATATACATGCATTTGTAAATTTGGGACTTGAAGATTTATATAAGCTTTCTTTTATATCAAATTCTATTAAAATAAAGAAAAATAAAACATAATACCCTTTAATCTTAATATATATAAAAAAAAAAAAATCAGTATTTAGCTCAATACTTTGTTACATACTTTTACTCAACAAGAGGCTATAGAGTGAGAGAAATTATATTTCTGTAATTGAGTTAATTGTTATATGTATGATTTACGAGTATGTATCATGTAAACTAAAAAGATAATAAAGAAAAGGAGTAAGCAAGAATTCGTTGATGCTCGTCAACATGCCAAAACACGGACACACACACACACACACACGAAAGCTGGATTAATTACAGTACTTTCCGTCATCATTCTAATTCCTCCACCCTAAAAGAACCTAGACATGAATGATTATTAATCTCTCGACTAAAACCCACATTAGGGTTATAATCAATTAATTACTTCTTCCAAAACTCAATTCATCGCTATATCTAACCTGCTTGATGGGTTTCGTTGCCCTGTAAATGCTCTCTAGAGACCGATACTTCCGCTTCTTGTGCTTCTGAGAAATCTCCTTTACCTTCGCAGTAGCGATCTCATTTGAGTGGATTAATCTCTCAGATTGATCGGTATTAATCTTTTTCTTGTTGTTGCTTCTGTTGTTTTCGCTGCAGGAATTGGCGTTATCTTCATCGCTTAGCTGCATGAGTTGCTGAGCCGCGGCAGCCATATCCGGTTCTAACCAGAAAGGCTTCTGGGTTTTACGTAAAATTACTGATTCCGCCATTAAAACCATCAATAAGTTACAGAGACTCAGGATGAATTAGCGAGTACTGATTTCTTCGTTGTGGTTTTTCGCTTTACGGGTTTGGCGTATGAGCGCGTTTTGAGGGTACGTGTTGTGTGAGGTTTGGAGAAGAAGAAACTGCAGGGTTGGTGCTGTGAAGAATGCTCGAAGATGTGACTTTCAATTTATATTCTATATTTACATTAATTTATCTTCTATACCCATTTGTATTTTAAT